GGAGCCCTTGCCTTGGAGTGAGGAGGCCAGGGTTTGAGCCCTGGCTCTGCCACCTATTAGCTGTGTGACCTTGGGCAAGGTCCTGAGCCTCAGTTTACCCGTCTGTAAAATGGGAAGAGTAATTCCTCTCTTCCTCAGAGAGATGGAGCTAGATGCTCTGAGCAGAGGAAGACGGAAGGCGCTTGGAAGCTGCAGGAATGTCTGGGGCAGGGGACTTCTCTGACTTGGAAGGACAGTAGCAGGCCCTGGCACAGGCTCTCCCAGCCGTGAGTGGCCTCAGCTTCCCTGTGCAGCAGATTCACCTGGAGGGCTTGTTAAACCAGACTGCCGGGCCCCACCCCCTGTGCGGTCAGGATCTGCAGGTCTGGGAGGGAGACCAAGAATCGGCTTTACTATTTCTTTTTTTTTATTATTTTTTAAATGTTTTATTTACTTCTGAGAGAGAGAGAGAGACAGCTTGAGAAGGGGAAGGTCAGAGAGAGAGGGAGACACAGAATCCGAAGACAGGCTCCAGGCTCTGAGCTGTCAGCACAGAGCCCGATGCGGGGCTCGAACCCACAAATCGTGAGATCATGACCTGAGCTGAAGTCAGACACTCAACCAACTGAGCCACCCGGGTGCCCCTCGGCTTTCCTATTTCTAACATGATGCTGCTGCTGCTGCTGGTCTGGAGGCCCCACTTTGAGAACCGTTGTTCTGGGGGCTTTGAGATCCGGGATGGAGGACAGCGGGGCCTGGGCCTTGGGAGAGGAGTGAGGAGCTGGTGCAAAGTCACCTGTGGAGCAAGGTAGGGGTGGGCTTGGCCAGCTACGTGGGAGTGAGCATCTGCCCATCTCGTTCTATCGTGTCCCCACTCCCCCACTGGCTTGGCCTCATGTCTCTGGTGGTCCCCAATGCCAGAGCCCGACCCGGGAGCAGCAGAGATGTCAGGCGGCGGCCGGGGCTAGGCTGTGCGGGGGAGGATGGACGCCAAGGGGTGAGGGATCCTACACTGGAGACTCCCACCCTACCGTTCTCCCGGGCTGAACCTCCTTGCCGTGCGCCTGCTTCGGCCTGTTGCTAAGAGAAATGAACTGACTTGCTCAAGGTCACACGGCTTGGGCGGGACACCCAGAAAGAGCTCTGACCACCACACCGCCTCTCTTGGTGATGTGGTAATGTTAAGGATGACTAAACGGATGACTCCAATTCCAGTTTAAGTCATATTCAAATATCCAATGGAGACTTGCAGCTAAGACGAGAAAAGCATGTTGTAGTAGAAGAGATCTGCCGCGGGAGCATCTAAAATCTGGGGATTCAAGACCTTCAACGAGGGAAAAACAATGAACCTGGACGTTTACAGGACATGAAAACAGGCTTTGTGCTCACGGAGGAAAACCCAAAAGGCAAACTGGAGCGCGGCTGGTCCGTGTAACGGGGCAGAAGGACAATAAATGCATCCCAGCCCCTGAAATTTACACACAGTCACGGGGTGAAAAAGATGGGGATCCAAGCTACTGAGGGCAAGGAGTCCCGCAGTACCTAACCACCCCAAGCCCCAGACTGTCTGAGACCTTGCCCAGCAGGAAGCTGAGCTGGAGGGGAAGAGCCACTCCATGCCAGGATCTCAGGGGTCATGGACACCTCAGCAGTAAAGACCCGGAAGTTCTCAACAAGACAGCTGGAGGCCCCCCAAGGCTGGGAAAACCTTGTGCGCGTGCACACACGGCACCGGGATTGGGCCCAGGTGCCATCCAGGCCCTGGCAGACCCAGAGCCCCGGTCAGGCGTGGATCTGGGGGCTGTCCTGGATTGTGGGAGAACGGGAGAATCCCCAGAAGCCCGAGCATTTTCTAATTAAACACGACTGTCCCGCTTCTGAGCCGGTGCGGAGCGGAGCAAGGGGAAAGGAGAGAAGTACAGTGGTTACTCCCCGCTGCGCAGCCGCTGAGCTGGGCCAAGTGCCCAGATCCTCCCAGCTTCGACGCGCGCTGCCCGCGGCGGGGAAAGCCATTTATGCCAGGTAAAGGCTGGCGATTTCATTAACTCCGTTCCCTTTGTCTCGTCTCCATGGGCGCCGGGTGGTTAAACATGTGGGGGACTTGGTAAAGGGTCAGCCCTGGTTTATAGGACTGTCTGGGGGGTGGGAGATTGCCCCGGGTCTTCGAGGTCCTAAAGCTGGGTGGTTCGGCAGAGATGGAGAAGGGGATGAGGGAGATGGGGGGTCAGGAAACAGACAGAGGCTGCAGGCCAGTGCGAGGACTTTTCTCAGACATCACCTGCAGCCACCTTCACGGAGTCATCTGGATGCAGGTGGAGTGGCACAAGCCCCTCCCCCGAGAGGGGCCCTTTGAGTCACCTTTCCTTCCAGTGGGGCGGGTTGGCCTCTCTCAGCCGGGGTCCTCCCTCCTCTGTCCCCTTTTGGCCACCCCTGCCCCTCGATGTCCACTTTCTAGCTGTTTTTTAAAGCCAGGATAAAATCTGGGCTCTTGTGTGCCTCCTCCTCCCTTCCACTTCCTCCCGTTCACTCCACCAGCTTCCATGGCCTTCTCTCCGTCCCTCCAACCCTCCTCGGAGCCCTTGCACCTGCTGTCCCTCTGTCTGGATGCCCCCCCTCGGAGGGGCCGCCCTGACCACCCTGCCCCAACCTATGCCCCATCCACGTTGTGTGTTTGCATCTCTTCTGAGCATACAGTGCCGGCTGAAATTGTCCACGTGTGGATTCACGGTCTCCATCCCCCCGACCTTCACACATAAGCACTAACTCACACACACGTGAGTTGCTAGAACTTTCATTCCCACATGAGGGACCTTCTCTGTCCAATTCACCTTTCCCTTCCCAGCTCTGGAACAGAGAATGCGCTCCATCAACATTTGTCCAGCGATGGAGTCCGTGATAGGCACCAAGAGAAGACAGGTGGGGGGTCTGGAGGCCACAGCATCAGCCCTGGGCTCTAACCCCCTTCCCCACCAGCCCCTCAAGGTCTTCTAGCCCGGAGGCTGTGGGCTCCAGTGAGGTGAGCCCAGCCTGGGAGAGTTCAGGCTTCTTTCCCAACCCCCCCCGTCCCCCCCCCCCCCCCCCCCCCCCCCCCCCCCCCCCCCCCCCCCCCCCCCCCCGCCAGGCTGGACCTGCCAGCCAGGTGTCCGCAGCCTGGGGCCTCCTCCCCACTGGCTTCCCTCCACTGTAGCTGTTAGGCTCGCCCTGGCCTGGGGGCCGCCATCCCTGGGCAGCAGCCGTCTGCCCACAGGGGAACCGGCAGTCAGGGCCGGTGGGGGTGGGGGGTTGGCCCTGGAGTCACGGCTCCGATTCAAGAAGGGAAATCATCTGAGCTTTTAAAAAATTAAATGGAGTCAGTAATTTGATTTCAGAGAGAAGCTGAAAACCTCGTAATGGCAGGAGCAGCTCAAGTCCGTGGTGAAAAGGAAAAGCCTTAAATGGGGCTATTAAGCTTTTGCCTGGGATGGATCTGCCCAGAGAAGGAGGAAGGGGGGGTGGGGGTGGGCAGCGGGGAGAAGTCATCCTGGAGGTAGAGACCGTTTATCAGCCAAGACAACCCTGATTATTTATTTATTTATTTGTTTCGTGTTCCGGGCGTTGCCCACGGCCCCCCTCCTTGGCTGTATTTCAAATCCCACTTCCAGCGACGGGCCAGCCTGGGCGGGGAGGGGGGGTGGCGACGGGGGGCCACCCTCCCAGTGAACCACTCCCTGTGCTGCTCCCACTCGGGCCACAGCTGGGCTTCTGGGCCAGGGAGCCTGGGAGCCCCAGTGTCCCTGGAGGTCAATGGGGGTCACCGGAGTGATCCAAGCCGACGGGGTACCAGCTGCTGCCATGGGAACGGGAGGCAGGGAGCAGTGAGTCATGGAAACAAAGCAGTAATGCTCCCCATTCTCCTCTCATGGGGTCCTTTAGAGACCTAGGGTCATGGCCCCTGAGGCCCAGGGGAGGGCGTCTCGCCCTGTAGGACCTTATCATCACCCAGCCCTCCCCCACCCCAGAATGGCTGAGCTGCTGCTGAAGGCCTTCTGTGCTCTCCTGGAGCAAGCTAACACCCCCCTCCACCTGGGCCTGGGGGTCCAGCGGTTTGGCTGCTCAGATTTCCTTGAATGGCAGGAATCGTGACCACGAGAATGGCTCATGGGTTCTGACTACGCGCGCTGCGTGCAGGACCCTGCGCTCCAGGCTCTGCGTTCATTTCCTCACTTCCCCCTCAACAGCCCCAAGTATTATCACTCCCCCAACCCATTTGACTGATCAGGAAACTGAGGCACAGAGAGGTCAGTGCCCAAGGTCACACAGCCAAGTGTGGAGAGACCAAGACTTGACCCACAGCAGCCTGGCCACAGAGCTTGCACACTTACCCCCTAGCCGCTGCCCCCCCCAACACTTCCCCACATTTGACAGTGAGAGGGCATGCGCGCCAGCGCTCCCAGCAGGCAGGCCCCACACTGCTGCCACTACGCCTGGGAAGTGCTCGGGGCTGGGCAGTGACTGTGGCGTCCGTTCCCAGCCAGGGGGACGAGTCCTGGGCCTGCGGTGTCCTGACCTGGTCCTGGGGGTGACGGGTCTAGGTGCTCCTTAGGCTCCTTGTTGGATGGCCCTGAGGCCTCCGTCATAGAAGATGTTGTTATTGTTTTTCCTTAAACTATTTTTTAAAAAATTTTTAAAGGTTTTGTTTATTTCTGAGAGAGAGAGAAACAGCATGAGCAGGGGAGCGTCAGAGAGAGAGGGAGACACAGACTCTGAAGCAGGCCCCAGGCTCTGAGCTGGGGCTCGAACGTGGGGCTCGAACCCACGAACCGTGAGATCATGACCTGAGCCGAAGTCAGATGCTTAACCGACTGAGCCACCCAGGCGCCCCAAGGATGTTGTTTTCCTAGAGCTTTCTGGGGGAACAGCAGGAAGCCAAGGCCTCTTCAGCCGGGCCGGTCATCAACCTTGTCAAAGGCTGGACCTCCTGGCTGGCATGTCCAGGTCCCCCTTGCCGGGATAAATGGCAGTCACATCCCCCCCCCCCCCACCTCCAGCATTGGACAATATTTCCAGCAGGAGAGGGCTTTCTGGTGGCCGGGTGGGGCCCTGCTCAGGCCTTATACTTCCTAGATGTCAGGGAAATGGATGGCCTTGAGACCAGGAGCCCTTTGGGCCGTTTGGACCCCAGAGAGGCAGCTGAGGGGGGGAGACGGCTGAGAACAAACGCACGGTCAGGGCTGTGGGGGCTGGGAAGACGGGAGGAGGGGAGCGGGGCTAGCCTGCACACCTCCTGTGGCCTTGAGGACAGCGCAGCCGAGGGTGGGGCACGTCCAGGGAACCCCACTTCTTCAAGGGAGCCTGGGGACCATGCTGCTTCCACAGGCTTTGCTATTTGCAGGAATGATCCAAGCCCCTTCTTCAGCGAGGGAGCAGTGGGGAGAGAAAAGGCATCATAAATAAAGGGGTGGGGGCTTGCGCTCTGCTGAGGACGCCAGGCCAGACACAGCCTGTGGGAACCGCGCCCACAGGCTGGTGCTCCGGGCCTGGCCCCAGGCTCCAGCCACAAGGTCTTTGAGCCATGCCTCAGTTCTCCTCTCTCTGTGTGCCCAGCTGCTGACTCTACCCACCACCTCCTTCTGCCTCAAGGCCCTGGGGGCTGTGGACCGGGCAGGACAGCTGGAAGCCGGCTGCCCTCAGATGGGAGCTCTTGGGGGCCCCCGTTTTCTCTGGGGACTGTTCTGAATTTGAGAGAAGACTCGGGCGGAAGTCAGAGTGGGGCTCCTTTTGGAATAATGGCAAAAGATGGGGGGTCTCATGACTGACTGGGTCCACCCACACCTCACCAGGATGGAGCCCTTCAGGGGAAATTGTGGCGGGAGACCGGGTGACGACAGAGTGGCATCAGGAGGCTTGAGAGCGGAGCTCTGAGGAAGCCCTTCCCAGAGGCCTCCCGCGGCAGTTGATCCTGCAGATTGGAACTGGGGAGAGGAAGCCGGCAGCATTCCTGCTGGAAGGGTCTCCTCTCTCCTGGGGATGGTGGAGAGAACTGTCCTCGCGTGACAGTTCAAGCAGACAACAACCTTCTAGAACTTTCCAGAAAGGAAGAGGGAGTCAGCTCTCCCAAAGAGACAAGATCTTCCCCAGCACCCTGGTGAAAGGGTCACCCATGCCCCCTTTACTATTTTTTCTCTTCTTTTTTTTTTTAAATAGTTTATTCTCAAGTTGGTTTCCATATAAACCCATGCCCCCTTTTGACAGAGGGGGAAACAGAGGCTCAGGAGCTTCAAATTCAAGCACTGGGTTAGGAACTGCCTTCATCGGCTGAATTTCACACACCTTCAACCTGGAGTCCTTTTCGAGAATATGCGAACGTCAAAATCTCCTTTTGAAACCGAGTCACAGGATTTTAAGTTTTCTGTAAAGACCACCTGGTCCCAACTCCCCACCCCTGCTTGATGCCACCACCTGGTTTCCTGTGTGTTCGAGGCTAAATACACTGGCCCGGCCGCAAGAGCCATGCAGAACCAGACTCTGCCTCGACACTATTGACATGCTGGACCGGATCCTTCTCTGTTGTGGCAAAGGCCCCTGAGCACCGTGGGATGTCCAACAGCATCCCTCGCCTTTACCCACCTGATGCTGCTAGCATCGAAAATCTCCCCAGACATCACTAACCATCCCCCTGGAAGGGTCAAGTACAGCCTTCAGACATGTTTGGTTTGGCCTGCAGAAGGGTTTAAATTTTTATTCTTTTTATGTTTATTTATTTTTGAGAGTGGGGGGGGCGAGGGGGGAGGGACAGAGAGAGAGAGGGAGACACAGAAACCAAAGCAGGCTCCAGGCTCTGAGCTGTCAGCACAGAGCCCAACGTGGGGCTCGAACCCATGAACTGCAAGATCATGACCTGAGCTGAAGTCAAATGCTTAACTGACTGAGCCCTGGGCTTTAAATATGTTTTCAGATCAACTGACAAAATGTAACCAGCTTCTGGAAAATCAGAAGATTTGGCCGTGCCGGCCCTCCCTGACGAGGCAGGAATGGGCCACAGCTAAGTAAAACTACTTCGTCTCTTTAGCGGGGTCCGGGGTCTGCCCGCCCGCTCACCACGGTCCTCTCCCTGGCCTTCAGCACCCTCACCTGGGCCACTGGCTTTCTTCTCATTTACACTCCCGGCCTGACCCCTAGAGGCACTTTCATCAGAGCCTCTGCTTTAAAATGTCAAACAGCTATCGCTTAGCCCCCCTCCCGGTTTCTCTTCTCCAAGCCAGATAGCCCATTGCGTCCACTGTCCTTGACATCTGTGATCTTAAATAATCAGGATTTCTCCTATATTTCACTCGGGGTAGGGGAGGGCGGGGATGAAAAAGACTCTGTAAACCACTGAGGGCTTAGGCAATCCTGGTACATTAATATTCTGGCTCATTAGTCATATATTTTCACAGAGAAAAATGTTCTTTGTCTGAAACGTGTTTTTAAAATTCCTGGTGAAAACATTGTCCAACGGGCATCTATTAAGTGCTTACCAAGGGGAAGGCGGTATGATAGCCAGTCCCATGAAGAATAAAATGCTGGACAAGACACAGCCCTTGACCTCAGAGAGTTCCCATACAAGAGGGAGACATAGGACTGTGCACTGATAACCATAACAAGAATAGAAAGACCTAGAAGCTATGGGGGGGGGGCGGGGGGAGACAGGGAAGGCATGCTGGGAGCCAGGGAGAAAGGAGAGAGTTCGTCGATCTGGCTGCTGATATTAAATTAATAAAACGAGGCAGAGAACATTCTTTCCCTGTGTAAATGTTTCCAGGGAGGCCAAAACGTCTTCCTAAAATGTTCTTATCGCCATTGCCCAGTTGTTTTTGTATTTTATTTACTACGTCCCTATCGAGAATCTACCTTCTCTTCAAAGCCAGGGACAAAGGTCGCCTGCTCCTTGTCATCTCCCCCAAGCCCTCCCCCCCGCGCCCATACCTCTCTGGACATTTCTTTCCTCCCACTTCCAGACTGGACGCCACTTGAGAGCAAGAGCTGAACCCGGTGGCCTCTGTTCCCGTCCCCCAGCCCCAGCCTCATCCAGACCCTCCCACAGGCAAGTGCTTCGTGCATATTTGTCAGATAAAGATCTAGCCCTCCCTTTCCAAAAATCAATGTCATTGCTGCAGGAAACTGTTAAAATAAAAACAGCCAGAATGTGTAAAAACTTTCAAGAAACATTTCCATTCTTAGCAGACTGTTAGAGCTCACCCCCCACCCCGCTTTTTTCCCTTTGTTTCTAATTCTGAATTTGGGGCTAGATGTGGTAGGCAGTCCCCCTTTTAATCTTTAAATATAGTTCTGAATATAATTACATTTTTATGCAGCACCGAAACATCATATCCTGGTAACGGGGCATTCTTGCTCCATTAACATCTGTGTTAAATCTCCTTCATGTCTGTCTTCTATTGAGGACAGTTGTGAAGTCTGAGATGAAAGTGATCGACATCATTTGTGAATTATGTGTATTTCCTTATGCCGTATTTCAATGGGTTTTGCTCCTGGTGGTTTTGCAAATACCAGGTTGTCTGTTAGCCGTGCTGTCCCCGAAGACCCCTTTCAAGACGTGGGTCCCGGCGTCCTGGCGGAGAGGACACACGCCGCGATTCGAAGAGCATTCTTCCTGGATTAGAAGTCGCACCGCGTCTTTGCCAAAGAGCCCGATCCGTTAGTAAGTGAGCTGAGGAGCCGGAGCCCACACAGAGAGCCGGACGGACCAAGGTGGAAATGCCTCGTCTCGTCCTAGGAACTCTGCTAAGCTCCTAACCCCGTCTTCCCTACAGGTACCCATATTCCCATTTGGCGGATGAAAACGCTGAGGCTCCACAGGGTTAAAGGACCCGCCGAGGTCCGGCGGCACCCCTCCCCCCCCCCCGCCCCCAACCCGGCCGTTTGATTCCAGGGCCAGCGGCCACCTCACCACTCAGCTCCCCGGCCACTCCTGTTCCCGGACCAGTTCCAGCCAATGTGCCCCACACTGCCGCTTACCGCTGGGTGTGAGGCCTGCCAGGCCCAGGAAGGGAAGGCTTGTCACAGAAGGAATCACAGGGCCAGGGAAAGAGGGATCCTGTGGCGTGCGCCTCTTACCAGCAGGCACACCCCCACGGTGACTCGCTGGCCCACAGGCTGGAAGTAGCTCTCCACTGTCCGGGGACGGGGGCTGCCATCTTGGCACATTGCAGGTTCAGGGCTACCCTACAGACAGCCTGCATTCCCGAGGCTTCTTGGTCCTCCTGGCATTGCTGGGGGGCAACAAAGGGTGAGTTTCACATGGCAGGGTGCATCCTGTGCCCCACGGTCATCCTCTCAAGGGCCCCCCAACCCGGCAAGAGTGTCAGGCCCCAGGGGCATAGGTGGCCAAGACCCATCTTCAGCTGGCCCCACAGCTCTGCCTTCCGTGTCTCTGATTCCACATGGCATCGGGGGCCCAAAGCAGGGGCCTCCAGAAGGCGCGAGGATGGCCGACGCCGGCCTCAGGACCCTGAGCTGGACCCCCACCAAGTGGCTGAGCACAGCACACTCTATTTTGGGTCACCGTGAAGGTGCTGGACTGATAGACTCCAGAACCAGGATTTCCTCCACATGGCAGCCTTTTTTGGCCAGACCCAGTCTCTGCTTTGGGATGTCGAGTAAGACCCCTGGCTCTGGAATGGGGAAGGACACGTGACACGGAAAAATACACACATTGCAGGTATGCAGACAAAAGGTGATTCCAGGGGCCAACTGCACCGGGGTGGCTGTCCTGGGGCCAGCACAGTGCGCTTCCTGATCGGGGACATGACCGTCCTCGGTGTTTAGTGTCACTGCCCGGGCAGAAGAGAAGAAACAGGCCCCAAGCATCCAGGGGACCCTCCCATCTGTGAAGGCCCATAAGGAAGCAGATGCCAGGAGCAAGCCTGCCCCTCGGAAGCAGCGAAAATGTCTCCACCAAGACCGTCTTTAGCTTCAGGGACCTGGCCGGGTGCCCTTTCTTCACCAAAGCTGCTCTTCAGAAACAAAGCTCGGGGGGTGCCTGGGTGGCTTAGTCAGTTGAGCGTCCGACTTTCGCTTAGGTCACGATCTCGAGGTTCGTGGGTTCGAGCCCCGCATCGGGCTCTGTGCTGACTGCCAGCTCAGAGCCTGGAGCCTATTTCAAAGTCTGTATCTCCCTCTCTCTCTGACCCTTCCCTGCTCACGCTGTCTCTCTCTCTGTCTCCTAGAAATAAATAAACATTAAAAAAAAAAAGAAAAGAAACAAAGCTCGGATCAATTGTTTACACTTTAGCAAGAATTTCGTGTGTCAGCCTCCTCATGGGGGCGTTTTAAGCCAGCTCTGCGGTGGCTAAATGAAAGCACCTGTCTCCAAATAAAGGGTTTCAAGCATCATGAATAAGGAAGGAGATGTTTGGGGGCCTGGTGAGCTCCTCCCCAGTGCCTCAAAATCGCCAGAGCTCCCTCATTAACTTTGGTCCATGATAAAATTCTATCAGATGCAGAGTCTTAGTCGTCTCTGATCTACCCACGCAGGATGAAGCCTTTGATCCACCCAGCTTTGCATACAGAGTTCCTTAGAATCTACACTTCCCAGAGGTGGGAAGTGCTCTTCCAGATTCCAGGCCTTTCTATAGGACACCCCAGGCTGAACGAAATAGTTATTACATACAGGGTCTAGATCGAGGGGGGGGCGGTTTCCCAATGACTGATGGATCACAGAGCCCTGGAGGGCCTGCTGAAAGGTGTAGACCCTCTGCCATGTTTATCTTCAGACCCATCATGGGACCTTCCAGGGAGTAAAGACCCCGGGTTTGGAAGCTTCTAGTAGACAATACAACTTTTCATCCATACTCTACACCCAGTGCGTACTCCGCACACATTCATACCTTCCGGGAGAGCCAAAGTCTCTCTGGTCCCAAGCAATTCAGGGACTCACAGTCAAGGTTGGGGTTATGAAGAGGCGAAGTGGGGCGGGGCCCTGGGGATAAGGTGCCCAGAGGAGGGAGGAACACAGCAGGGATGGACAGAGAGAGAGATGAATCCAGAAAGGGTGGATTTGCAGGTGCTCCTGGGCCTGACCCGGTGGGCAAGCATCTTCTAGAAAAGAGGTGCAGGAGCCGCCCGCCAGTTAGTGTGGCAGGAGGTCCTCGGAGGTGTCGAGCACCTGGTGAGGCGGAAGTGTCCCCCTGTGGCCTCTGAACGGCTCCGTCCAGAGCCAAACTCCGTCCACAGGGGCCCCCTCCCACTTCCAGACTGGCCTGCAGACTAAAGCCCCAAGTGTCACCCAGCTCAGGTCAGGGACCGTTGCTCCAATGCACCAGGAAATATTCTTTAGCCTGGATATTTTTAGCAGGAACCGAGCTCGGAGCAAATGTCATGTGAGCCGTCTTCTCTTACACGGCAACTTTGGGCTATTTAAAGAGATGATAATTACGCTCCTGCCACCATGATCAGGATGGGCTGGATCCTGATTGCAGGAGCCCGCATCTGCCGAGCTGAGCACTTGACGCTAATGGAGCCCAATTTTCTAAGCTGCCTGCCTAAATCTGGCCGGTCTCTCAGGTGGACCTTTGAATCGGCACCGGAGGGGCGGCAAACCGCTCCTCGAGGCCTCGCGGGTGGCCCCCAACAGCGGCTCCAGGGGCGCTGGGTCACGGGATCTTCCCCCCACCCCCAGCCTGCTCACCACTGACCTCCCCGAAGAAGGTCTCGCCTTGGACTTCGGATGACGGCCGCGGTGTTGATGTCCGCAGGGAATCCCACCAGGCTGGCATCTTTCAGAGCGGCCAGCAGCCCCCAGGTCTGAAGAAACAGGACACACTCGTAAACAGGCCAAGGAGGCATGGTCACTAGGGGCTCCGGGAGAAGGCGCACTGGGGGACCCTTCAGGAAGCGACAGGGCCGAGGAGGGGGAGGGGCAGGACCGGGCGAGGGGGGGGGGGGAGGAAGGCAAACTGGATGCGTGGCCCTCCTTACCCTGGGGGGAAGCAGATACCTCGCATCGTAGGCACACTGTGGGGCGCACACGAAAAAGAATGAATGTGCTGTTACCCTTACCAGCGACGGACGCCACCAGGCAGCCCATACTCCATCCCGCCAGGCGTAACTGGGGTCCCGCCCTCCGCTCCATTTGCAGTGCGTTCATGGACATCGCTGATGGGGGCCTTGAACAAAGGTGGGTGCCTGGATGGGGGGAGGGGGACAGGAGGGAGTCCCCAGGTCCCATCCCAGGAGGCATGGCCTGAGGACTTCAGGAGTGAACTCGAGGAAGGGAAAGCTAGCTGACTTCAAATACTCAAAAGGATGTTAAATGGAGAAAGGACCCAGGACGCCGCTGAGAACAGACTTAGGACCAGCCAGGGGGAGGTGTGTGCGATATGGAAACAGCCTCACCAAGGAATGAGCTCCCCGTCACTGGAGACTTCTCGGAGAGAATGTTAGCGTGAGAGGGACCTCAGAGGCCTCCTGGCCAGCTTCGCACCCAAAGCCGGGAGCCCTCCTCAGATTCCCTCCCGGGCTGCCTCAGGTCTCTGCTTGGAGGGCACCGGGCGAAGCATCTAGCTTCTGCTGCCAAGACACAAGCCCAGGAAAGGTTGGCACCATCCGCCAGGCCCGTCCACAGGAGAACAGACACCAAAACCTTCTGCTTTGGAGATCCCTGAGCACCGGGCCTGGCAGAGCCTTCTAGAATGTGGCTCCTGCCCCACCTACCTGGCCACCGGCGCTTCCCAGGGGCAGCGTCAGGGAGACTGTGAACAAAGAGGGAGCAAGGGCTCCTGGCAAGCGGTTGGCAAAGGTGAGCGAGTAAACATTTCTGCCCGAGCACATAAGCGTGGCAATTACCTCAGCAGGAGGCGGGCGAGCGAGCGCTGCCGGCTGGGTTGTTTGCTCATTAAGACAAGAAAATCATTTATGTTCTGGGACTCAAGTGTCAACAGACCCAGGGAAATGTCTTGCCTCAGCTGCCGCCGTGGGGCCGGCCAAGGGGGCAGCTGGGGTCCCCGGCGCAGCTGGCGGGGCCAAGAGCCGTGTGCGCGGCACAGACGCGGTTCGGGGCCCGCTTTCCATCGGGGCTGCCTCCCAGGCCCCCCTCCCTTGTCTTCCTCTCTTGCTCTTTTTTTCCTTCCTTCTCGAAGCCAATAGTCAAGGGTGGAGAGAGTGCGGCAATGGGCCTGGCATGCATACCTATGGCTCCATACTTAGGGGTGACCACCCCCCCAGGTTCCCCGGGGCCAAGGGGGTTCCCTGCGGTGGGACTTTCAGCGCAGTCCCAGGCAGACCAGACAGCGGGTCACCCTGCTGCCCGTGAGCCCTGCAGCAGCCCCATGGGGGGCACCGTTCTACCCATTTCGCAGATGGTAAGGAAGGTGCCGGTCAGGGCAGAGCAGAGAACCTTCCCTGGAGCTCCTGCTGCAGCCATGGCCTCGCCACCCCTCGCCCCCCCACCCTGCCAGCTCCCTTTCATTTGCTTCAGACCTGGGCAGGGGGGGAGTCACAGACCCAAAGAGGGTCCCTGGGACAGCACCTGACCACCCCCTGCCCGGAACAAGCTGTGGAGGTGAAGCCCAGGGGACTGACTGGCCTCAATGACATCCTTCCCAGGCCACTCCCCACTCCTCCAGAGGCAGGGACAGACGGGGGCAGGCAGGAGGAGCCAGCTCGGCCTTCTCGGCGCCCCCGCCCTGCTATCGCTTGGCCTTGAGGGACGCCCACTGGCAGCAGGTTCAGGGCGCCCGCGAGCCCCCTTATCTCCATCTTTTCCGTCTTTGCAGGTGCTGCCTTCACTTGGGCAGCAAAGATGCTGAGATGGGGTGTGGTGAGAGGGATGAAGAGGATTCGAATGTTCCCTGGGCCCCCATGCTATTTCCGCACCCCGTCCGTCCTCCGCAACCCGGGATAAGGCAGGGAAGCCCCTGGAGGCCAGGCTTTAAGGAGAGAAGTGATTCTGTTTCCAGAAGGAAGGAAACTTGCGATCAGCACCGTGCCCTTTAAGGCCTCACGCAGAGGCTATATTTAGGGCCGAGGACATTCCGCAGGACCTGGGCAGCCTTCACTGGGAGCAATCGCTAATCACTGCATTGAGTTTACGGGTGCCCCTGGGCACACTTAACCCAGGGCAATGAATAGTTATTGCCGGCCTTCCCGCTCGGGGCCTGTGGGCACACTTAAGCAAGAGCGCAGATCGCTGCTCGCGGGCACGGCTCGGGTACACCCTTGGGCACCCTGCGCCTTCAGCGGGGAGAGGCAGAGTATTAAATATCTGTGTGCCCTGTGCCCACAGCTGCATTTAGCCAAGGGCAAGGCCAGTGAAACAGCTTTAATTAAAACTTAATGCAAGTTCAAGGTGCAGGCACGGAAGCAGGGGCTGCAGAAGTCACCAGGAATGAATCAGTCAATTCGATGAGGTTCTCGGGTGGGGAGAGGGGGAGGGGGGCCAGGGCCGCCACCTCTCTGTGTCCATGTTCTGGGACGTGGGGCCACCGTGCGCTCCCACACCTTGCTTGGTGAAGGGTGCTACGCATCCCGGCTGGTCACTGGAGGCAAAGCAGGCGCCCGGGCCAGGAGCCGGGCCTGTGCTTCTCAGCAAGTCTGCCCATTGTTGGTGACACTGGCCGCACCGTCCCCCTGGCGGTAGCTCCCAGAATTGCAGACCCAGTGCAGGGGGAGAAGTGACCGGCCTTGGAATGTTAAAAGTCATCACGCGGGCACAATGCTTGGGGGTCCTGGGGTAGACCCTGCGATTCTTAGGAGGACTAACACTAGGCGAGTGGGCAGAGAAAGACCTCCCACTTGGGCCCTGCTCCTGAGGATTGGGAGGCAGAGGACTATCCGAGCAGTCTGCCCATTAGCCCAAGGCTAGGAGTTCAGGCCTCCGGGCCTGGGGGCATTCCCAGAAGTGGGGGTCCCTTCTGCCACAGCGCTCTTGTTAAAATTCAGACCAGATGGGAACACGGCTACAAGCTCTTCCACAACTCATCAAATGTGTTCCCCTAGTACCAGTGCAGTGTCTGGCATACAGTAGGTGCTACATAAATGCTCGCTGAATGAACATTGATCGTCATGGGTGGCCTTCTCTCTCCCAACACCTCTTCTCTCCCTTCTCCACCCTCATCTCTCCTTCCCCAGGACCATCTCCCTCGACTCTCAGGCAGGGGCTGGCACACCAGTATTCCCCCCTCAAGGTCAAATACGGCATCTTTTTTGGAGCCACTTCATGTTTACAAAATTAAAAGTCAACTTGTTAACATCAGGAGAGTTCACATACGATTACGGATTTCCAGTGTCTCATGAAAAGTTGGAAAGGCTGGCCAGGCAGACAGGCCGGGGTGGAGTGGAGGCTGCCGTTCTGCAGGGGGGCGCGGGGGGCAGGGCGGGAGGCTGTGCCGGCCTCGGCCATGCCCCCCGCCCCCACCCCGCGCTCTGCCTGGCTCACGGCCCTCCTCCTCCACAGGCCTCCTGACCCCTCCGCCTGACGCTCCCCTCTGTAGGATGGGTAAAAGCAGCAGTACCAATACCCAGGATCGCTGTGGAGATGCAACGAGTTGATATTTGCAAAGGAGTTAGAACAGGGCCGGTGCAGGTGCCAGTAAAGTATTTGCTAAATAAAGACATGAGTGCAAGTCTGTAGTGGCCCCTGCGCCTGGCACACTCCCTTCTGGGGCAGGCTTGGCCCCCGTAGGCATTTGCGTTTGTAACCACCCACCCATCCAATCTTCTTTAGCTCCCAGAGGCGCCACAGGACTCAAGACAAAGCAAGGGGCCCACAAGGCAGTGAAGGAGCTCAGCTCGGGAGGAACCTCCATCTCCTGGTCGTTAAAGTGAGGACACTGCTCCCGATTGTATCTGAGGTCCTTTTATGGCTAAAAGGCTCTAATTCCTTGACTTTACCCAGCTCAAGAAGGAGCAACCAAACTAGCCTTTTTTTTTTTTTTTGCAGTCTAGCCAGTGAGAACACAAGGGCACAATGTTGTAGATTTGGGGACCGTCCCAGAGCCCCCACTGTCTCCCGTGCCAGCTAGTTCAGAGACCTTTAACACGCCTGGCCCCCATCCCATCCTCCTCCCAAGTCGCTCAGACAAAGCCCAGGGGGACCGGGCACCCGGCCAGGGCCGCAAATGTTTGTGGGACAGCAGTGCCACGGTGCACCTCCCGCGGCCACCTCTCCCCCCGGCCACGTCTCGAGTCTCAGGAGCCACGGCCTTTGGAGAGAAGCCCAGTCTGGGATGTCCCCCCTACCCCCCGCCGCGTCCCCTGGGCCCTCTGAGCCTGTCACTTGAACGAATGTGGACCCACAGTAGACACGCTCCTGGCCCCGCCTGGACGTTAACGGTGGACACTTCATTCTGAAGCAGACGCTCTGCTCCAACCTTTTCACCCCTGTTTGAAATATTCTGATTTCCAACCTGTAATTTGCTTTCTGGAAGTATGGCAAAATTCATGTGTGCAAATGGAAGAGGGAAGCACAGTTAATAGGCTGCAATTACAGGTCAGTGACTATTCATAGCAAGCATGGTTAACATCAACTGGCTGGGAGCCGGGAAGGTGTCAAGAAGAGGGCTGGGAAGGGAGACCGAGGCTGTGGGGCCTGGGAGCCTGGCTCTGGCTTCTGGGCTCCTGGAGCGCAGCCCCCACCGGGAAGCCCTCAGGGCTGGGGACACTTGTAGATTTCAGGAAGGCCTGAACCTGGGTGGACAGAACAAGAGCTTGGGCCTGAACATCGCTTGATGGGCAACAAATGTTTGCTCACACCTTATCTTCCTCGAGCACCGCAGATGACTCCTCAAGTAGGCTTCCCTGTTCCCATTTTATGGATGCGGTGAGGCTCGGAAGAGGTCAGTGACTAAGCCACTGTGTTGAGGGGGTGGGGGTGGGGAGTGTCAAAGAGGAAGCGATTGAAGAGAGGAAGAGAAAGAGAAGGAATAGGTTAGATTCTGTGATTGCTCCCCCCACCGCGAACCCCTCGGGAGAAACTCTGGGCTTGATCAGGGAAAAAGAGTCTGCTCCCCCCCACCCCACCCGCTGCCCAGCCAACTGGCCTCAGCGCAGCCCTCGGACCCCAGCCCCCAAACCCCGCCTCTCCCACCTTTCCTGGGCAGGCTCCAGGCCCTGACGCCTGGAGCTCAGGCAATTCGGGGGACGGGCCTCTTTAGGAAAAAAAATACAAACATATCTTTTGCCAGGTTCACAGTCATGGTCATGTGGAGCACCTGAGGAGCCAGTGCAAGTGAGGGGCCCTGAGGCTTATGCTCCATCAGCTCAAAGGTCAGTCAACTTCTGCGAATCTGGCCACACCATTTATTCACTTTAGTAAGCACTTACTAAGCACCTACTGTGTGTCAGGCCCAAACGCTGAGGGTATGTACCCTCCCCCCCAACAAAGGCATTCCAGATCCAGCCAGAGACAGCTGGGAGAGGAGATTCGTTATTAATCAGGGCAGCAAGGGCAACGATAGAAGCAGTTTCAACACACGGAGGTGATCAACTATCAGGAAGACTTCCTGGAGGAGGCAGCCTCTGATGTAGGTGAATACACCCAGCAGTCCAAAACTGAGAGGGCGGAGCCTGGGCTTCACTCCTCTCTTCTGTCTTTCTCCATTCTGTTTCTACAAAGGAATAACGATATAGTAACATCTTGATATTCTTGACATCTGCTCTCATACTTAGCTCTTTCTGGCTTCAGCTCAGGTCATGATCTCACAGTTCATGAGTTCAAGCCCCCTCTTGAGCTCTCTGCTGTCAGCTCAGAGCCCACTTGAGTTCCTCTCCTCTTTCTCTCTGCCCCTCCCCTCCTCATTCTCTCTCTCTGTCTGTCTTTCAAAAATAAATAAACATTAAAATTTTTTTAATAAATAAAAACAAACAAACATGAAGTCACCGTCAGGATCAGGATACTGGAAGCAGCCACATTTGGTAAGAAAAGAATTCAGGAGTCTCCTGGGTGGCTCAGTTGGTTAAACGACCTACTTCAGCTCAGGCCATGATCTCGCAGTTGGTGAGTTCAAGCCCCACATCGGGCTCTGTGCTGACAGCTCAGAGCCTGGAGCCTGCTTTGGATTCTGTGTCTCCACCTCTCTCTCCCTCTCGCCCACTTGTGCTCTGTCTGTATCTCTCTCTCTCTCAAAAATAAATAAACATTTTTTTTAAATGTTTAAAGAAAAGAATTCAGGAGGTTGGGGCCCTCCAAGTCCCCATGATAAGCAAAGGACAGAAGTGTGGTTGGCAGAGGCCACTTCTCTGCATGTGGAATCTCAGAAATCTCAGACACCCAGATATAAACCTAGAAGCTCCTTATCTGGAGTAGAGAAAAGCAGCTGTAAAAGGACAAGGCTGAAAAGGTATACAGCACCGGGAAATCGTATCTGTTCTACCTTCAGAATACACCTAGAATCTCACCCCTTCTCCCCACTCTGGTCCCTGGCTTGGGTTTCTGTATCAACCTTCTCCCTTACCTCCTGAGCCTCTACTGGTCTGTTCTCCACATAGCAGCCATCAGGATCCCGTTCCACACTAGGTCAGATCATGCCTCACCTCTCCTCAAACCTCCCCATTTTTCACCCCAAGGAAAAACCAAAGTCCTAGAAGGCCCCACATGATTTGCCTCTCACCTCCCTGATCTCCACTCCTGCTTTTTTGTTTCCCTCCCTCTGCTCCTCCTGGCCTCCTTGCCCTTTTTCAAGCATGCCCGGCATACTTCTGCCCCAGGGCCTTTGCACTGGCTGAGTCCTCTGCCTGGAGCTCCCTTCTCTTAGATACCTGCACGGCTCACTTCCCCACCTCCTTCAAGTCTTTGTGCCAATGTCATCTTCTCAACAAGGCCACACTCTTCTTGTCCTTCTCTTACTAACACTGCTTCCTTTTTCTGTGACCTTTGTGACCTTCTAAACTGCTATCTAATTTACTTATTTATTCTATTGGTTGCTGGGCTCCCCACACCCAAATGTAGCTCCATGGGTCAGAGTGTTTATTTTGTTCATCATTCATCATTGCGTCCCTAGAGCCGAAGTTGGATGCTCAACTGGCAGAGCGACCCAGGTGCCCCCATCTTGTGCATGTCACAGTTTTGGGGGGCCTGAGAGGCTCAGTCAGTTAAGCGTCCGACTTCGGCTCAGGTCATGATCTCGCGGTTTGTGGGTTTGAGCCCTGCGTCGGGCTCTGTGCTGACAGCTCAGAGCCTGGAGCCTGATTCAGATTCTGTCTCTCTCTCTCTCTCTCTCTCTCTCTCTCTCTGCCCCTTCCCCACTCTCTCTCTCAAGAATAAATAAACACTAAAAAAATTTTAAAGCCTACAGTTTCATTTTCAAATTCTTGACTCAATTGTGTATTTGGTGCGAGACGGATACACTATTTCAGAAAACAGCCCTGGAAGCCTTTATGTGGGCATTCTCTGGTGACATGCGTTCCTTTTAAAAGCACACAGCCTCCGCCTCTGTCTTTAGCAAGAGATCAAGGCCGTGCCTCTGGCAGAGGGCGGCTCTGAAAGGTAGGCGATCACTGGGGAAATAAAGTGTCTCAGCCTGGATGTGCAAATAGACCTGGATCGTTTTAGTTTTGCATTCACGTCTGCACTTTGTAAATATTTGCCTGGCATCCCGCTGCTCACACCTGCTTGCTGTCCCCTCAAGTTTATGGAAGGCAGCAGGCACCGTCATTTCTCTGTCCCCACCTGGCGCCGCTAAGCACTGCCGTGAAAGGAAAACTCTCCGGCGAAAGCCACAGGTGTCTGACAGCGCCTAAAACTAATGGCCTGTGGCTGGCCGCTGTGACTAATTCTCTGATTATTGACTTTATGATTTTACGCTTAAAACTTCTTTATAATAACACACAGAAATGTTTAATGGGCTCTATCCAGAGCCATAAAAATTACTTATTGAACAAGCGTTTTAAAACTATTAATCTATTGTTTTCCATTAATAATGGTTCTCCAAAGAACAGGCGACAGCTTAATGTATCCACAGCATTTCTCCTCGAAAAGTGGCCTTTTAATACAGAAATGCCGCTTCCAAGGCTTCATGGGTTGGCTGGCCATTGGGCAGCTGACCCTCCCAGGACAGATTTAGGCTCCACCAGTCCCAGAAAGCGCTTTAAGGATTTCCCTAAAAGTCCTTACGGGGGCCCCGGGAGATTTTCCTAGCCTCTGAGAGAGATCGAAAAGCCTCTCTCCTCAATCCCTCTCTTCCTGGGCAAAAGAGAAGAGGTATTTCTAGAGCCTGTGTTGCGGCTCCCACGGCGGAGGACACAGAGGCTAGCGGGCAATTTGCACATCTCTCTACTTCTGTTCCCTCCAGAAGGTTCCCGGTGATCACCTGTGGTCCCCACCCCTTCCTACTTTCATTGGCAAGCCCGTGGCTGAAAGGCTCTGAGGTCCTATGCCCTGGGTTCTGCTATTTTGGGTGAGCGGTTCCCTCACCACGCCTGAGATGCTGTCCCACTTCAGAGGTGTAAAAATCACCCCCTGGGTGGCTCAGTCGGTTAAGCTTCCGGCTTCGGCTCAGGTCACGATCTCATAGTTGGTGGGTTCGAGCCCCGCGTGGGGCTCTGTGCGGACAGCTCAGAGCCTGGAGTCTGCTTCGGATTCTGTCTCCCTTTCTCTTTGCCCCTCCCCTGCTCTCACCCTGTCTCTCTCTCTCTCTCTCAAAATAAATAAACATTAAAAACAAAATTTTTAAAAAGACTTTGGCCCTTTGGGGCCGTTTTGCCCTACATCCACTTATTTTTCTGGGTGATTTAGATTTTGAAGCATATCAGCACCAGATAGGGTTTCTGTCTAGGGTTTCAGGCTGTTCATTCATTCAACAAATGTTTACTGAGTGTCTACTAAGTACCAGGCAGTAGTTTTGGTTCTGAGAATACAGCATTAAACTGGAAAGGTGGAGGCCATGCCCCCATGGAGCGACCCTCTGTGGGGCGAGCATAGACGATAAAAGGTCCTAAAAGATCATTTATAGGGGCACCTGGGTGGCTCAGTCCGTTGGGTGTCTGACTCTTGATTTCGGCTCGGGTCACAATCTCGCGGTTTGTGGGATCAAGCCCTGTGTCGGGCTGGACAGGCTAACGGCGTGGGATCCCTGCTCGGGATTCTCTCTGTCCGTCTCTCTCTGGTCCCTCCCCGCCTGCTTGTGCGTGCTCTTTCTCTCTCCAAATAAATAAGTGAACTAAAAGAAATTTTATTTAAAAAATCGTAGAGGATCATTTAAAACAGTGGTGAGTTCTGAGAAGCAAATAGGATGAGGCTGTGACTGGGGGTGGGCGGGGACTAGTTAGATGAAGAGTCAAGAAGGCTTCTTGGGGAGGTGGCCTTTGAGCAGAGAGATGGGAGTGGCAGGAAGGAACCAGCAGTGAGAAACGGAGGGGAGGCATCCCAGGCAGGGACTGGCGGCACAGAGGCCCTGGGGAGAGGCATGCAGGCGGCGTCTCTCCCTCGGCGAACACCTACCCAGCCAGCAAGGGTTCCCTACCTGGTAAGTGCAGAGTCCTGCTCAGCAACTGCCTCAAACTGCCGAAATCTCTCCTGGGGATCCACAGGTCATGTAGTCTGAGAAGCACTTGACCTTATCTGTTGAACAAGAAGACGCTTCGGAGAAGGAAGGAAGAACTTCTCCGCCCAGCCTCACTTCAGTGGAATGGTTAGAATGGGGCATGTAGGAGTCACATTGTCAAACTGGAAGGGACCCCTCACCCCACGCAGAGGTGTTAGTTCACAGAACGTTAGAGGACAAATGTCTTAGGGTGAGGTTTCTCAAACTTCATGTGCCTACAGATCACCCAGGGGATTTTTTAAAATACAGATTCTGATTCAGTAGCATCAAGGTAGGGCCTGAGATTCGGCGATTCTGACAAGCTCTCAGGTGCTACTGGTCCAGAGACCGCACTCTGAGTAGCAGGGTCCCGGAGGTCATTAAATCCAACCATGGCGTTTTACAGGAGGAGACATGTGACTTAATGGTGAGAGTGGAGCACTGAAGTCAGAGTGACTTGGTTTGAGTCCCACCTCTGTTCTGTGTGTGTGCGTGTGTGTGGTTGTGTGTGCATATGTGTGTGTGTGTGTGTGTGTACTGGTTGCTTAGTTTCAGTTTCTTCCTGTGCATTGATTGTATGAAGATAATGGTGGTGATGAGGGAGATGATGACAAAGACGATCATGATGGTGGTGGTGATGATGGTGGCGATGATGTGACCATGATTTGGGCAATAATGGTGGTGATGGGGGGGGTGTCTGGGGGGCTCAGTCGGCTAGGCGTCCAGCTTCGGCTCAGGTCATGATCTCACGGTTTGTAATTTCAATCCCCGCGTCAGGCTCTGTGCTGACGGCTCAGAGCCTGGAGCCTGTTTCACATTCTGTGTCTCCCTCTCTCTGACCCTCCCCTGCTTGTGCTGTCTCTCTCTCTCTCCGAAATAAATAAAACATAAAAAATTAAAAAAAAAAAACAATGGTGGTGATGGGGGTGATGAGATAATGATGGTGACCGTGATGGTGCTGATGATGGTGAGGATGAAGTGGTGATGGTGAGGATGGTGACGAGGGGATGATGATGGTGATGGTGATGATGATGGGTTTTCGTGTTGGTGATGATGGTGATGATGATGGTGGCAATGATGATGGTGATGGTCACAATGATGATAACGATGAGGACATAATGGTGCTGATGATGGTGATGATGATGGCGATGAGGCAATGATGACAGTGATGATGGAAATGATGTTGACAATGATGGTGGTGATGCTAGTGATGCTGGTGATGCTGGTGATGCTGGTGATGATGGTGCTAAGGTGGTGATGGTGGTGGTGATGCTGGTGATGGTGGTGGTGATGGTGGTAAGTGACAGTGATAACAATGGTGGTGATGATGGTCATGACAGGACTTTGTAGGGTGGATGTGAACCTTCAATGAGCGCATCCTATGACCTTTACAGGGTGCTCATTGTAGAGAGGGGTGCCTAAAGGTGACAGCTCTTATGATGGCAACTACTGTCCCCCAGAGATAAAACAACTTCTCCATAGTCACAGAGCAGTAGGAACAGATGCCCAAGCATCCCTACTATCATTTTCCAGCTCATCACATAGTCAAAAAAATTAGAGTGCCAGAAACCAAGTAAATGTTAGAATGCACATGACCCTGAATCAATATTGAACCCATTATAATGTTCCTCTTCTGGAACAGGAGGTACATCTGACTTCTGGCAGGCCTCAAGGTCATCACTAAAGGACACAAGCTCTGGGAGAGGCAGTAGAGACAATGGAGACTCTGAGCTGAATCTTCAGACGGACATGCCATAGCCTGGTACAGTTAAAAAGCCATGAGTAGGGGCGCCTGGGTGGCTTAGTTGGCTAGGCGTCCGACTTTCGCTTAGGTCATGATCTCGCAGTTCGTGGGTTCGAGCCCCGCGTCGGGCTCTGTGCTGACTGCCAGCTCAGAGCCTGGAGCCTGTTTCAGTCTGTGACTCCCTCTCTCTCTGACCCTCCCCTGCTCACGCTGTCTCTCTCTCTCTCTTCTTTATATATATATAAATTTTTAAAAAAAAAAAAAGATATGAGTAGGCTTGACAATAAGCTATAAAAAATATAAAATAAAAACAAACAAACAAACAAAAAAAAGATATGAGTAGAGCTTAGGAAGGAACTTGCTTACCCATTGCTTGGCTCAGGAAAGTTGGGTAGAGCCAAGCCAGGGCAACCCTGGAGCTCTGCAACTCAGGTGAGGACTCCAGGTAGAGGGCACAGCCTGTGCACAGGCTAGAGGTAAGAAGCAGTATGGAGCGTCCTGATGACACCCCACCCCCAACCAGTGTCCAGATGACATCCATGAGGGATCTTGAATACGTGAGATGGTGCCAGTCCCTTCTGAGAGTGGTTCAACAGATCCCCACCACCCCTGGGAAAAATCCAAGCACTGTCTGGCCCACGCGGCCCAGCCCACTTCTCCGTCCCTTCCATCACCACATTCTGCCCAAACTGGTCTTTTCTCTCCCTCAGGTCCTCTGCACATGCTGTTGCCTCTGTCTTCACACTGTTCCCCATCTTCACCCGGCTAGCTCCTCTTCATCCAGCAGCTCTGGGCTTCGGTGTCGCCTCCTACGGGACACCTTCCCTGACCCCCTCCACCTATTATCTACCCCGATCTTGTGTTGTTTCCTTCCTGGTTTACACCACTGTTGGGAACTATGTTACCTATGAAAAACTTCTGTGTATTTCTTCCACTTGAGTGGAGATACATGCAGATAAGCTTGTCTTCCGTTCACGTGAGGATGAGCTCGCGGAGCGCAAGGGCCATATCTGTCCACACTCTGTTCCCTGGGCCCTTCCATTGACCTGTGCCTGGGACATAGTATCTGTTCAGTAAATATCTGACAGTACATCACTGTAGCTGGATCCTAGCCTGCTCAAGAAAAGGGGAATGGTGGAAATAACGTGTGGTGATTTGTCTGTTTCCCTTCCTCCCACAACACATAACTGAAGCTCCATGAAAAAGCCCAGATTATGTCTTACTCATTCACCGCAGCGCCTGCGGGACCTTCCCAGTGCAAGGCGCAAGACCCCTGATGAGTAAGAGTTAAATCTGTGTTTCCATCCCACGTACACTGGAGTTTTCTGTAATCACACGGAAACAATATCAAGTGTGATTCTTTGGCCACACGAAGTAGGATCTTGGTGGATGTGACACAGTTTCCCAAACAGATCCCTACCCAGGCCCCCATAATGACACAGAGGTTGACAGAGCTCTTAAATATACTCTAACCATGACCTATCTGATAACTGGAGAAATGAGAAGGTGATGAAAATCTCCTCTCCTGGGTTAATGTCTCTCTCAGCAGAGGCACTGAAGTTTCCAGAAGAGCACCAGATGCAGGGGGTCCTGGAGTGGGGATGCCAGGGCTCGGATCCTGGTCTAGCTGCGTGACCCAGGCAAGTCATTTAATATCTCCAAGACTCCATTTCCTCTTCTGCAAAATGGGCACATGTGCAGTAAAGAGTGAAACTTGCCTATGGAAAGAGTTGTCCCCAGCTCCCAGGAGGCAAATTCTAAGCCTTTGGAGTATTCACCTGGGAGCCATGGGCCACACCAGATGGCCTCGGTCGACATGTGATTTATGGTAGGGGGCCTTGGACCTTGTGATGTCAGCTCAAGCTTTGGAGGGGCTGGAGACTAAGTCAGCCATGCCCTAGCAACAACTCTGGCCACCAAGGCTCAGGTGAGCCTCTCTGGTTGGCAATTCTCTGTATATATGTCACACGTGGTCGCTGGAACTTAGTGCCGTTAGCATACCTCCACTGGAAAAGGACAACCAGAAGCTCGGACCTGGATGCTTCCAGGATTCTGCCCCCTGCACCTCCTCCCTTAGCTGATCTTAATCTGCATCCGTTTGCTGTAATGAACCGTAACAGTGAGTAGACCAACTTTTCGTTTTTCATTTTTTTTTAAAGTTTGTTCATTTTGGAGAGACAGAGAGACACAGAGCACGAGCAGGGGAGGGACAGAGAAAGGGGGAGACACAGAATCTGAAGCAGGCTCCAGGCTCTGAGCTGTCAGCACAGAGCCCGACGCGGGGCTCGAACTTGCAGACCACGAGATCGTGCCCTGAGCTGAAGTCGGACGCTTAGTCGACTGAGCCTCCCAGGCGCCCCAAGAGCAACTTCTCCGAGTTCTCTGAGTCATTTTTGTAAACTGAGGGTGGTCTTGAGGACCCTTGAACTTTGAAGTTGGTGTCAAAAACAAGTGTGGTGTTGGGGACTCTGGAACCTTTCAGGTCAATACCAGCACCTCCCCCAGTGGGTATCAAGAAGATGACACGAGCGGATGCTGAGAACCCCTTCGCACAGAGCCCGGCCTGGCTTGGAATACATTTTCAACAAGTGTTTGCTCCTTCTCTACAGTCTTCTAGTTGGTGTGGCGGCTTACTGTGGGCACTCCGGGGCCCTCCTGTCTGGGCTGAGGTCCTGGCTGTACCACTCGTTGCTGTGGGACCTGAGACTAGTCACTTTCTCCTCTGGCCCTCGGTTCCCCCGCCTAAAAGTCATAAGGATGAGTTAATGGAAACAGATCCCTGAAGGCAGGCCTGGCACTCAGTAGGCTCCGTGTGCTGGTTTTTATTATTAAAACAGTGCTAATTTCTCAATCAGAGGATCCCAGCCCCAACCCTATTTCTGGCACCAGCCAGCCACATGACCACTAGCACTTGACCTCTGGGAACCCCGTATCCTTGTGGGGAGGGTGAGATCATGAAATCCACGCTTCTGCAGAAGGCTTTCTCACTCCCAAAGTTACCCAGTCTCACCGGGTTGCTTATCAATCTGCTCAGTGGGGAAACGCCCTAAGCCTCATCTGAGCCCTAAACACATGATTTATTTACCTGCCAGAAACATCAAGAACAAGGCTTGGCCTGGCCTTATTTAACCTACAGGGGAGGCCCCGTGGGAAAAACATGGGTGGAACACAGGTAAGACAGATGGCCCTATAGGAAAGGAAGGACAGGAAAAGAATGAGGGGTAGTATACAGCTGCTATTGTACTTTCCTTCATTCAATCTATTGTATTTATATGGAGCGTCCACCGCATGCAGTGGCCGAGACAGGGAAAGACCCACTGAAAACAAGTAAAGAAAGAAACAAACAAAGTCATTTCAGATGATGATCTAGCTCTGAAGA